GCGGTAAGACGGAGGATGCAAGTGTTATCCGGAATCACTGGGCGTAAAGCGTCTGTAGGTGGTTAAGCAAGTCAACTGTTAAATCTTGAGGCTCAACTTCAAAATCGCAGTCGAAACTGTTTGACTAGAGTATAGTAGGGGTAAAGGGAATTTCCAGTGGAGCGGTGAAATGCGTAGATATTGGAAAGAACACCGATGGCGAAGGCACTTTACTGGGCTATTACTGACACTCAGAGACGAAAGCTAGGGTAGCAAATGGGATTAGATACCCCAGTAGTCCTAGCCGTAAACAATGGATACTAGATGTTGAACAGATCGACCTGTGCAGTATCAAAGCTAACGCGTTAAGTATCCCGCCTGGGAAGTATGCTCGCAAGAGTGAAACTCAAAGGAATTGACGGGGGCCCGCACAAGCGGTGGAGCATGTGGTTTAATTCGATGCAACGCGAAGAACCTTACCAGGGTTTGACATGATACGAATTTTTGTGAAAGCAGAAAGTGCCGTTTGGAACGTATACACAGGTGGTGCATGGCTGTCGTCAGCTCGTGTCGTGAGATGTTGGGTTAAGTCCCGCAACGAGCGCAACCCTTGTTTTTAGTTGCCTTTATGGAACTCTAAAAAGACTGCCGGTTATAAACCGGAGGAAGGCGGGGATGACGTCAAGTCAGCATGCCCCTTCCACCCTGGGCTACACACGTGCTACATTGGGCGAGACAATGAGATGCAAACCTGCGAGGGTAAGCTAATCTATAAACTCGTTCTAAGTTCGGATTGTAGGCTGCAACTCGCCTACATGAAGGTGGAATCGCTAGTAATCGCTGGTCAGCTATACAGCGGTGAATTCGTTCCCGGGCCTTGTACACACCGCCCGTCACACCATGGAAGCTGGTTATGCCCGAAGTCGTTACTCTAACCATTTGGAGGAGGATGCCTAAGGTAGAATTGGTGACTGGGGTGAAGTCGTAACAAGGTAACCGTACTGGAAGGTGCGGTTGGATCACCTCCTTTTAAAATTACAAATTTTAAAGTATTGGTCGATTATAACAAAAACTTTGAATCTAAATATTCAAAGGGCTATTAGCTCAGTTGGTTAGAGCGCACCCCTGATAAGGGTGAGGTCTCTGGTTCAAATCCAGAATGGCCCAGCGGGGGTATAGCTCAGTTGGTAGAGCACCGCCTTTGCACGGCGGTTGTCAGCGGTTCGACTCCGCTTACCTCCACAACAAATTAAAAATTCTGTAAATGTATTTTAACTCTAATAGAGTTTCTGTGTTAAATTCAAGGAACTAAGAGTTTATGGGGGATACCTTGGCATTCAGAAGCGATGAAGGACGTGGTTACCGACGATACGCTTCGGGGAGCTGGAAACAAGCTATGATCCGGAGGTCTCCGAATGAGGAAACTTTAATATAACTGCTTATTGAATTCATAGATAAGTAAGAGCGAACCTAGGGAATTGAAACATCTTAGTACCTGGAGGAAGAGAAAGTAAAAACGATTCCCTGAGTAGCGGCGAGCGAAACGGGAACAGCCTAAACTCAATTCAAAATTGAGGGTAGTGGGACAATTACAAACGATACTGTGACAATTAGAAGAACAAGTTTGGAATACTTGACCATAGAGAGTGATAGTCTCGTATTCGAAAATTGAAACAATCAAATTGAATCCCAAGTAGCATGGAGCACGTGAAATTCCGTGTGAATCTGCGAGGACCACCTCGTAAGGCTAAATATTACTGAATGACCGATAGCGCAACAGTACCGTGAGGGAAAGGTGAAAAGAACCCCGGGAGGGGAGTGAAAAGAACATGAAACCGTAAACTTACAAGCAGTAGAAGGACGACTAAAACGTCTGCCTGCGTGCCTGTTGAAGAATGAGCCGGCGACTCATAGGTAGTGGCAGGTTAAGGCAGTGAATGCTGGAGCCACAGTGAAAGCGAGCCTGAATAGGGCGTTTGTCACTAGTTATGGACCCGAACCCGGGTGATCTAACCATGGTCAGGTTGAAGCTTAGGTAATACTAAGTGGAGGACCGAACCGACTGATGTTGAAAAATCAGCGGATGAATTGTGGTTAGGGGTGAAATGCCAATCGAACTCGGAGCTAGCTGGTTCTCCCCGAAATGCGTTTTGGCGCAGCGGTAGATGTTATAGCTTAGGGGTAAAGCACTGTTACGTATGCGGGCTGGTAATTCGGTACCAAATCGTTGCAAACTAAGAATACTAAGTGTACAGTCTACCAGTAAGACTGTGGGGGATAAGCTCCATTGTCAAGAGGGAAACAGCCCAGAGCACCAGTTAAGGCCCTTAAATAATTACTAAGTGATAAAGGAGGTGGGAGTGCATAAACAATCAGGAGGTTTGCTTAGAAGCAGCAATCCTTTAAAGAGTGCGTAATAGCTCACTGATCGAGTAAACCTGCGCCGAAAATGAACGGGACTAAGTAATTTGCCGAAACTGTGCGATATATAGAAATATATCGGTAGGGGAGCGTTCTGTTGTAGGTCGAAGTATTAGCGTAAGCGGATATGGACGAAGCAGAAGTGAGAATGTCGGCTTGAGTAACGAAAATATAGGTGAGAATCCTATACCCCGAAAACCCAAGGTTTCCTCCGGAAGGCTCGTCCGCGGAGGGTAAGTCAGGACCTAAGGCGAGGCTGAAAAGCGTAGTCGATGGACAACTGGTTAATATTCCAGTACCATTTTTTATTGACAACGAGGGACGGAGAAGGCTAAACCAGCCGGATATTGGTTACCGGTTTAAACGTTCGAGATGTTGAGAAGCGGCGAAAACGCTTTGAGTTGAGACGTGAGTACGAGACGCTAAGGCGTTGAAGTGGTGTATGTCATACTTCCAAGAAAAGCTTGCACTGTCATAAATAAAAAATGCCTGTACCATAACCGACACAGGTGGGTAGGTAGAGTATACTAAGGGGCGCGAGATAACTCTCTCTAAGGAACTCGGCAAAATGACTCCGTAACTTCGGGAGAAGGAGTGCCTTATTCGTAAGGCTGCAATAACAAGATCCAAGCAACTGTTTATCAAAAACACAGGTCTCCGCTAAGTCGTAAGACGATGTATGGGGGCTGACGCCTGCCCAGTGCCAGAAGGTTAAAGAAGTTGGTTAGCATTAGCGAAGCTGATAACTGAAGCCCTGGTGAACGGCGGCCGTAACTATAACGGTCCTAAGGTAGCGAAATTCCTTGTCGGGTAAGTTCCGACCCGCACGAAAGGCGTAATGATTTGGATACTGTCTCGGAGAGGGGCTCGGTGAAATAGACTTGTCTGTGAAGATGCGGACTACCTGCACCAGGACAGAAAGACCCTATGAAGCTTTACTGTAACTTGAAATTGAAATTGGACTTTAGTCGCGCAGTATAGGTGGGAGGCGTTGAAAATAATCTTGCGGGAATATTTGAGCCATCAGTGAGATACCACTCTTCTAATGTTAGATTTCTAACTTTGAACCATTATCTGGTCAAAGGACAGTTTCAGGCGGGCAGTTTGACTGGGGCGGTCGCCTCCCAAATGGTAACGGAGGCGTACAAAGGTTTCCTCTGAACGGGTAGAAATCGTATCTAGAGTGTAAAGGCATAAGGAAGCTTGACTGTGAGACCTACAAGTCGAACAGGGACGAAAGTCGGTCTTAGTGATCTGACGGTACTGAGTGGAAAGGCCGTCACTCAACGGATAAAAGTTACTCTAGGGATAACAGGCTGATCTCCCCCAAGAGTTCACATCGACGGGGAGGTTTGGCACCTCGATGTCGGCTCATCGCATCCTGGGGCGGTAGTACGTCCCAAGGGTTGGGCTGTTCGCCCATGAAAGCGGTACGCGAGCTGGGTTCAGAACGTCGTGAGACAGTTCGGTCCATATCCGGTGTAGGCGTTAGAATATTGAGAGGAGCCTTCTTTAGTACGAGAGGACCGAGAAGGACATACCTATGGTGTACCAGTTATCGTGCCAACGGTAAACGCTGGGTAGCTAAGTATGGAGTGGATAACCGCTGAAAGCATCTAAGTGGGAAGCCCACCTCAAGATGAGTATTCTCATCACGAAAGTGAGTAAGGTCACGGTAAGACTAACCGTTTAATAGGCATTAAGTGTAAGTACAGTAATGTATGTGCTGAGATGTCCTAACAGACCGAGGACTTGAATTTTTAAAAAATATTTTTAAGACAACTAAGTCTTAAAAATATCATATATCTTTAAAGTTTAATCTCTTTAAAGATTTTTGCTTTGGTGTTTCTAGTGTACTGAACGGAACCACGCTGATCCATCTCGAACTCAGCTGTGAAACGTTATAAATCGGCGACAATACTTGGGGGGGGACCTCCTGGGAAGATAGCTCAATGCCAAAGTTTTAACTCATTCTAATCTATTTTTAGTTTCTAAAAGTCGTATCAATAATCGTTTTTCAACAAACTTTAGGAACAAAATCAATAATATCAAAAGAGATAGATAACAAATATTTCCAATATTATTATATAATATGAACTATAATGTGGATTATAATATTAGTCATTAATATCATTTTCTGTATTTAAATTTTTAATATTTATAGAGGATTTTCAGCTATGGATACTCGTTTACTTGTAATTGCTCTTCCTTTATTGACAGCAGCAACTTGGGCTTTAATAAACATCGGCACTTTAGCTATTCAACAAATTCAACGTTTATCACGTTAATAATAAGTTACAGGGAAAAATTGAAAAATATTTGATTTTTCCTTGTTTCTCTTATATAATGTCTTTAGGTTTTAGTAATTATTTATAAAAATTATGGCAGTACCAAAAAAACGAACATCAAAAACAAAAAGAGATACTCGTAAAGCAAATTGGAAAAGAAAAGCAAATAAAGCTGCACAAAAATCTTTATCATTAGCAAAGTCTGTTTTACAAGGTAAACCTACAAGCTTTATATATAGTATTTATGTAGATGAATAAATTTTTAAGTCTTATTTCAAGATTTAAAAATTTACATTCATAAAATAATTTCATGCGGATGTGGCGGAATTGGTAGACGCGCTAGATTTAGGTCCTAGTAACTTTGTTATGAGAGTTCGAGTCTCTCCATCCGCAATTTAAAAAGTTTTATTATTCATATGATTCTTCCTTTTACGTTACAACAACTACGGATTTTGAAAGCCGTTGCTAGTGAAAAAAGTTTCACTAAAGCTGCTGAAATTTTATATGTGTCCCAACCATCTTTAAGCAAACAAATTAAAATTTTAGAAAATCGATTAGGAATAATATTATTAAATCGGGAGAATAATACCATTTCTTTAACTGAAGGTGGCAAAGTTTTTCTTCAATATGCTGAAAGAATTCTAGCATTATGTGAGGAAAGCTGTCGTGCTTTAAATGATGTTAAAAATGGTGATCGTGGAAATTTAGTGGTCGGGGCAAGTCAAACCCTTGGAACCTATTTAATGCCACGAGTTTTAGCTCTATTTGCTCAAAATTACCCTCAAATAAATATTAATGTTCAAGTGGATTCAACTCGTGTTATTGCGAAAAAAGTTGTTAATCGGGAAATTGATATCGCAGTGGTTGGTGGTGATGTACCAGACGAACTAAAAAATAATTTAGAAATAGAAAATTTCGTTGAAGATGAATTAATTTTAATAGTTCCAAAGTCACACCCTTTTGCCTTGAAAAAACAAAAAACAATCAATAAAGATGATTTATATCATTTAAATTTTATTACGTTAAATTCTAATTCTACCATTCGAAAATTTATTGATAATATTTTAATTCAAAATGATATTGAAACAAAACAATTTAACGTTATTATGCAGTTAAACTCTATTGAAGCGATTAAGACAGCTGTAAGTTTAGGTTTAGGAGCTGCTTTCGTTTCTTTATCGGCAATTGAAAAAGAAATTCAATTAGAAACAATTGAAATTATTACAATTGAAAATATTAAAATTACTCGAACGCTTTCAATTATTACCAATAAAGAATGTTATCGTTCTAAAGCGTTAGAATTCTTTTATAATGAACTTTGGATGTTAAAAACTATTTCTAATTAAAATCCAGTTCTAATTAATTTGACTAGATAAAAATATATCTAGTAAAATGTATGATAGTTCAATTTTTTTAAAAGATGATATCTATTAAAATATGAAATATGCAATTGTAGAAATTAGTGGAAGACAGTTCTGGGTTGAAACAGGTAAATATTACGATTTAAATCGTATTCCTACAGAACTAGGTAAAGAAATTACCTTAAATCGTGTATTATTATTAAATAATGATGGTGAAGTTTTAATTGGTAAACCGTTTTTAGAACAAGTTAAAATTACAGGTCGTGTTTTAGAACATTTACGTGGCCGTAAAAAAATTGTTTACAAAATGAGACCAAAGAAAAAAACACGTAAAAAGCAAGGTCATCGTCAAGAATTAACACGTGTGTTAATTGAAAATATTAGTATTAATTAAAAATTATAGAAAGGAGTTTAATAATGGCTCATAAAAAAGGTGCTGGTAGTACAAAAAATGGTCGTGATTCAAATGCAAAACGCTTAGGTGTTAAAAAATTTGGTGGCCAAACAGTAAAAGCTGGAAATATCATTGTTCGTCAACGTGGAATGAAATTTAAGCCAGGTGTAAACGTTGGTTGTGGTAAAGATTTTACTTTATTTGCGTTAACAGATGGTGTTGTTAAATTTGATCACAAAGACTCAAAAAGTAAACGTGTAAATATTATTGTATAGGTTAATACTTTAATAAAAAAAAATGCTAAAAAATCCATTTAAAAAAAATTCAATAGCAAACGAATATCAAACCTTATTAACTGAAATAAATTCATTAGAAACAAAATTTCAACTTTTAAGTGACAGTGAAATTCGTTTAAAATCCAATCAATTACGAAAACAGTATCAAGCTAATTCGAATTTAACAGAAATAACAGCTGAAGCTTTTGCCTTAACTCGCGAAGCCAGTTTACGGACGTTAGGACTTCGTCAGTATGATGTTCAATTATTAGGAGGTTTAGTTTTAAATAGTGGAAAAATCGCTGAAATGCGAACTGGGGAAGGTAAAACTTTAGTAGCAACAGCACCTGCTTATTTAAATGCTTTAACAAAAAAAGGGGTTCATATTGTAACTGTTAATGATTATTTAGCTAGTCGTGATCAACTTTCAATGGGTCAAGTTTACCGATTCTTAGGTATGAATACAGGTTTGATTCAAGAAGATATGGAAGTTCGTGAACGGCAAAAAAATTATGATGCAGATATAACTTATGTAACCAACAGTGAATTAGGTTTTGATTATCTGCGTGATAATATGGCTTTAAATATTAATGAAGTTGTATTACGACCTTTTAATTATTGTATTGTTGACGAAGTAGATTCTGTTTTAATTGATGAAGCGCAAACTCCATTAATTATTTCGAACGAAGTTCAAACATCAATTGATAAATATATTATTGCGGCTGAAGTAATTGATTATTTAGAAGTTAATATTCATTTTAAAGTTGATGAAAAAAATAAAAATGTTATATTAACAAAAGAAGGGGCAGTTCAAATTGAAGAAATTTTAGGTATTAATGATCTATATAATCCAAATGATCCATGGATTCCATTTATTATTAATGCTTTAAAAGCAACCACATTATTCTTCCGAAATGTTCATTATATTGTTCAAAATGATCAAATTATTATTGTCGATGAATTTACAGGTCGAATTATGCCTGACCGTCGTTGGAGTGATGGTTTACACCAAGCAGTGGAGGCTAAAGAAAGTGTAACAATTCGTCAAAATAATGAAACGGCAGCTTCAGTGACATATCAAAATTTCTTCTTACTATACCCAAAATTGTCAGGAATGACGGGAACAGCTAAGACAGCCGAAATTGAATTTGAAAAAATTTATAATCTTTCTGTAGAAGAAATTCCAACAGCGCGACCAAATTTACGTAAAGATTTACCTGATTTAATCTATAAAGATGAGCTATCAAAATGGACAGCTATCGCGAAACAATGTGAAGAAATCTCAACTACAAGTCAACCGATTTTAATTGGTACTACCAGTGTTGAGAAATCGGAAATGTTAGGTCAACTTTTAAAAGAATATAATTTACCTTATCAACTTTTAAATGCTAAACCTGAAAATGTAAGACGCGAATCTGAAATTGTAGCACAAGCAGGTAATCGAAATAGTATTACAATTGCCACTAATATGGCAGGTCGAGGAACAGATATTATTTTAGGTGGAAATATTAAATTTAAAGTTTTAAAACAACTTTACACAATTTTGGTATCTTATAAACCAGCAACGAAATTGAATAAATTTACTACCGTTTTTCCATTAACTGCCGAATTAAAAGGAATTTCACATAAGTTCTTAAGTGTACTAACCACACTTTTAAATGATTCGAAATTTAAACGTTTCTCAGATACAGACATTCTTCGTCTTTTAAATGAAACAGACCAAATTAGAATTCCAACAAATTCATATCAACAAGCATTAAAGTTTTTAATAACTGAATTGATTCAATTCGAGAAGAAAAATCAACAAGTTGATAATACAATTGTTAAGAACCTTGGTGGTTTATATATTATTGGAACAGAACGAAATGATTCTCGTCGAATTGATAATCAATTACGAGGTAGATGTGCTCGACAAGGTGACCCTGGTACTTCTCAATTTTTCTTAAGTTTAGAAGACCGTTTGTTAAGGTTATTTGGTGGACCAAAAATGCAAGAATTTATGAAAAATCAATTCTTGGATGATACTCCAATTGAAGCTGAGCTATTATCAAAAAGTTTAGATTCTGCTCAACAAAGACTTGAAGAATTAACGTATGATTCAAGAAAAAACTTATTTGAATATGACGAGATTTTAAATAAACAACGAAAAGTTATTTATTTTGAACGTCGAAAGATTTTGGAAAGTGCATCGGTTCAAACAAAACTCTTAGCGGATGGTGAACAAATTATTACAGAAATCTTAACAAAACTTGAAAAGAATCAATTAAGTCTTTCTGAAGTTATTTTAAGATTAGAAAATTTATTTGGTCAAAATTTATTTGTCCTTAATAAATTTAAGGATAATTTAGATAACTTTGATATGGTTGAGTTAAAAACATACCTTTTCCAAGAATTTTGGCTATGTTATGAAACCAAAGTTTTAGAATTAGAAATTCGTCATTTAGGTATTATTCGAGCATTGGAACGAACTCTGATTCTAATTTATATTGATACTGAATGGAAAGAACATTTACAAAAAATGGCGCTTTTACGTGATGCTGTTGGTTGGAGAAGTTATGGACAACGAAATCCTTTATTTGAATATAAAGATGAAGCTTATGAATTCTTTAAACGAAGAACTCAAATTACAAGACATTTAGTAATTTATGATCTGATTCGATCAAGTATTATTTAAATATCTTTTCTTCTTCTTTGATTCAATTAATAAATTTTATTTAAAATATTTAAACTCAAAATAGTGAATTATGACAAAACGAACATTATCAAATAAAAGCCGAGCGTCAATTTTAAGATTATCAGGCTTCCGCGCTCGAATGGCAACACCAACTGGACGTAAAGTACTTAAGAATCGTCGTAAAAAAGGACGTAAAAAATTGGCATTAAACCACTAATATTTTAAGTTCTACCTATTATTAGAAGTAAACAGTTTTGTTCACTCTAATAATAGATAATTTTTTAGTTATAATTAATATAATAATATTTTAGTAACTTATTTTTCAAAACACTTATTTATGAAATTTAATGATGAACTGACACTATTATTAAAAGCGCGTTATCCTATTATTTTTATAAATACAATAGAAGAAGATCGAGTAGAGTATGTTATTCGAAAACATATTAAAACAAATTTAAATCGAAGTATTTATAGTTGGGATTTTGTAGATGGATATACTAATAATCCCAATAACGAAGGGTTTGCAAAACGAAACCCATTACAAGCTTTAGAGTTAGTGGAACGATTAACTGCAGAAACCCCCGCAATTTTTTTATTAAAAGATTTCAATCGATTTTTGAATGATGTTTCAATTTCTAGAAAACTAAAAAATATTGGACGATTGTTAAAACTACAACCAAAAACAATTA